GGTTCCCTGCTCACCATCAACCTGGAGCAAACTGTCCTGAGTGAGCTGACCCCACAGGTGCCTCTACACATGACCAGACCAGAGCGCAGCCCTCCTGGGCAGTGCAGGGGGCAGTGGGGTACAGCTCCACCCCCTCTGCCCTCCCACAGGACATCAGGGGGCCATTCCCCCTCCTGGGTGGTTCCACACACCCCCATCCAGTGCTGCCCATTTGTCACCCTGGCTGGACACCATCCTTGTCTTCAGGGTAAAGCCACACCTGCAGACCCTGGCCCATCTTCAGTGCCTGGGCACCAAGAAAGGAACAGAATATAGCAATGTCCTTGTGGTGTGACTCCTTCCCCACTTGCTCTTTTAGAAAACCCAGTGGTCTCAAGACTGTTTCTACCAGGCTCTCCTGTGAGAGAAGACTACTGTGCTATTAGACATTGTGAGCTTGTGAGATGATCACCAGCCCCATGCACTCAGAAGCTTGCATCACGGGAGGCATTTAAATCCCACTGCCAGTCTTGGCCTGGGTGTTCCCAGTGGGGCCTAAGAAGGGATTGGCCCCAGCCACAGCAGCCCTGAGGATGTGGGACCTTTCCACTCCTGCTGTCCAAGGACAGACTGTGACAGGTGGCTTCAAGACACAGGCTCCTTTCCACCTTGTCTCCCTGTATACTTCACATGCACTTGCACTTACCTGGATGCTGGCTAAAATTCAAGGGCAGCCTTGTGGACTTCAAAGCCATCACCAGGGGCACACCAGTGCAGCAAGGCTTCCAGGTGGGGCAGTTCTAACATCTGGTGCTTTTTCAAACCGACCAGTAATTCCATTGGGCCTAGTGGCTGCAGCACGAGGTTGCCATGCTTGGGCAGAACTAGTTGCCCACGTGGGGTAGGAAGTGGCAGCTCCAGCTCCTGGAGGCTGACTTGGATGCTCAGCTACAGTAGCTGAAGCCCAGAAGCCGTGTTTTGTGAAGGGGGCTGGGTGGATGGTAAGATGCTGTCTGACCTCTCCTAGACAGCCCTGAGCAAATCATTCAACCTTCCCTATCCCAAAGCAAGTATGTATATCTGTATGTGTGTTTTGTTCTAAAACCCAAGTCCCTGGTTTGGGGCTCTTGTAAAATGATAGTCTGAAGCTGCCAGGAGTAGGACAGAAAGTGGTCTGTAGCTGACACCATGGCAGCACAGGGTGGGTTGAGGACTTGAGCCTCTGATGTCCAGCCTCAGCCAGCAGCGGGGAGAAACTCACCCTTCTCCTCAGTCCCTACAGACCTTACAGAGACCTCCTGCCCCTTCCAGCTGAACGGCACTGTTCGGGAAACGTGTAACTTGTTAGTTGATGCTCTTGGCTTAACCTGTATTCAGGCCACCTGGCCAGCTGACCCTGTTAAAGACCTGCCGATTCTGAGGTCTGGAACCAGCACCCCATCCAATCCCCACAAGCTGAGCTTGTTCCACATCTGAGAACAGATGTGTGGGAGGCAGGGGCAGCCACTGCTCTAAGCAACACTGACCCACTGTCCTGAGGAAGGAACAAGCGTCTGAGGGCCCATGGGGTGCAGCCACTTGGCATGGGACTTCTCTTCACAGTTCCCTGTGTCTCCTGCACCCACATCCGATGGGATCTTGGCTTTGCAGGGTCCTTGTTAGCTCTGAGGCACCTGTTTATCAACAGTCTTTCTACTCAGCAGTATCCTCAGGTGATTGCAATTACCTGCAACAACAAAGCTGCTCTAGATTCACTGAGTTAACAGAAACTGCGCTTCCCTGAGATCTGCAACAGGAGAACCCAGGTTCATGCATTGTGGAGCCCCCACTGCCACAGTTGTAGTCAAGGGCTACCCACCTGTGGTTTCCTTGAAATTTTTTATTTTTTGTTCTTGTAAATCTAAATTATTTTTGAAAATCATTTTCAGTTTTTCTAAAATGTTATAGAAGCTGTCTAAATGTTTTAGCTATTTAACTTGGTGAAATACAAGGTTGGTTTTGGGGTGTTTTTTTTTAGCATTTTCCTATTCCCACATTAGCCTCTGTAGTCAGTGTCATGCACCACCCCCCCCTTCAGGGCCTCTCTCAGCATGGCCTTGGCCCCATTCTGCCATCAGGTTCCAGCCACTTGCCGAGCCCTCTACAGAGGCCCATGACATAGGTTCGCTGGGTTCTCTTCTCCTTGGTTTGAGCTCAGTATTGGCCACTTTCTCCCTTTAGCTTTGGGGTTAGGGGTAAGGAACTCTCTCCCTCCCTTGCCTGGAGCCTCCAATGTCAAAACACTGACCCTCTCCAACACAACCTGTCAGTCTATCTCCCCTAAAGACTCCAAGTCAGAGGGAGCAGCAATCCCTGACCCCACCCCGAGGCCACAGTCAAGGCTGCATCCCAGGGAACCTGCTCTTTGGCCTCTGCTCCCTTTGCCAGAGGGGCTGAGCCCTAAGGTTAGGGCAGGGCACCCCTGTGCACTTCTTCTCCAGGTTCAGCTGAGCATGGACTCCTGAGTGACTTCAGAGTACCGGGGCCTGAAAGATAGGGGACCATCTATCCTCCAAGCACCCCTGCAGGCTCTAGGTGTGTCCCAAGCAGGTGGGGGAGATCCTCTATGACAACAGCACATGCTGCCCAAGGGGGTCCAGAATGGCCAGTCACCCTGTCCCCAGGCCTGGCCCACCAAGCACTCTGCAGCTCAGGGTGGCCATTTCTAGGCCAGCAGAAGCCCTGTGTGTGTTCACCTAGTGGCCCAGTTAGTGGCCGGCCCAATTAGTGGCCTGATTTCATAAAGAGGCCCATGGGATGGCTGCTCAGTGACTATATGGCAGCAGCTAATCAGCAAGAGAAACCAATTGTTCCTTCTCAAAAGTCCACTGAAGCTGTGGCCTACAGCTGAGGGGTATAGATTCTGGGGCCCCTTGTACTGACTCCAGCTTGAGAAGGCTGGGCCTAGACACATGGTGGAGGACAAGCCTAGCTTGGGTAGAAGATGAGAGGTTGTAGTCCCTGACTTGGCCAGAATGGGGACTCTGGTTCACAAGAGCAGGTGGCATCTTGAGGTCCTTCACAGGAGAGTGGACAGAAGCCACATGGGTTAGCACAAGGACCTACTCTGAATCCCAACACCTCCAGGACAGCAAGTGTGACCAGGACTGGAAAACCCAAGACATGTGGCAGAAGATGTCCCAACTCTAACAAACTCAAGGGCCTCTGCCTTCTTCAACACCCCCTCCCTTCCCACCTACCCTGGCCCTGCTGCATGGCCTCTAAGCACCTGCCCACCCTACATGGTAACCACCTGTTCCTCCTGATGATTTGGCAGTGGGACCCTCACCCCACCCGGATCTGGCCTAAGGTCACCCCAGGATTCACATCCATCTCAGCTTAAACACCCTCAGGTGACATTTGTGGGTCCAATATTAATTGTAGGAAACAATCTGAAAGCCTTTGTGCTAGTACAGGGTCACTGCCCATCATCCTGAGTGACGTCTGTCCCAGGTCTGAGCCCAGAGTGTCCCCACAGAGCCATGCTGGAAACGCTGCTGCATTCCACTGAATACGAGGCATTCTGGGGTTCTCTGAGGTTGCCTCAGTCTGCTGTGTCCTGGGACCTCTCATATGGCCCTGGACCCCAGCCTGCCCGCCTACCCCCAAGGAGCCCAGTGTTGGAGTGCACCCTCAGTCATGAGACACAGGAGGGGCCCAGGGAGGGAGGAGATAAGCACAGGCCAGAGAGCTTTGGTCAACATATTCATTGCCCACCTTGCAAAAAGGAGCGGCTATTTGCCAAGAGGACTGGTGCTTTAGGCTTAAAGCTTTAAGCTCCCCCACCCCCTAAACCCACAATAAAAATAATCCCTCCACCCCAGTGTGCCCCAGTTCCACAGGTGCCTCCTGGTCCAGCTGTGCATTGATGCCCATCAGGGTCTGGGAAGTGTAGGTGACCCTTTTGTGGAATCACAGCAGGGAAGCCTGATGAATGACTTGAGACCTGGGGCCTGAGAGGATGGGGAACTGTCTGCACACCGAGCACCATACAGAGTCTGGAGGTATCCCAGGGAGGCAGGGTGTTGGTGAGGGGGCCAGGAGGTCCCACATGTATTGCTGTCCAAGGGCACCCAGAATGGCTAGTCCACAGGCTCTTGCTTGTCCCCAAGCACCTAGTGTGGGCTGGTCCAAGCTGGGGGAGGGGGTGTGTGGCTGGCTTTTGTGGGCATCTTTGGGAAGCCTGGGCCTGTCCCTTTAGGGACTGCTGTTGCTGCCTGGGGGCCCCCACCCAGGATGCTGTAGCGTCACCACATGGCCCCCAGGGTGCAGCTCCTCCAAGAGCACACAGGCACACCAGGGCAGCTGGATGGGGACACTAAGAAATGAGCCTTAGGAAAAAGAACAGCCTCAGTCCTGCAGAAATGTCTTGGAAGGTGGAGAGCAGGGCAGTTCTCCACCTTGGCCCCATTATGGGGCCTTGGGAAGGGCAGTGATAGGCAGTCACAAAGGGTCTGTGGCTAAGAAAAAACACCCATCTGCAGGCCACTCAGGCTCCACCAAGCACCTGCCTGCTCCCATACCAAAAGCAGCAGGTTCTTCATACTATCGGTGGGTACTCCACCGGGTAGTGCCTCATTTGGGGACCAATGATTGGGAATGGGGGCAGGGACCAGAGCAGAAGGCAACTTTGCTGAAGCCCAAGTCCCAGGACCTTCTGAGTACAAGCCTTTTGACCCACAGATGCTTGTGAGCAGACACTACTGAGGGTCACCAGAGACCTGAGTCCCTACTCCTCCCAGCTAGCTAGAGGTACCAAGAGGGGACAGAATTTACCATTTGAAGGTCCAGTCACAGCACAAGCTCAGGAACTTACCCGGTGGGTGAGAGATCGCGCAGTCCAGCTGGAGGCCCCCAACCCCACCCCAACCCCACCCCAACCCCACCCCCAGGGAAGCTGGCCCCTCAGGCTTCCTCCTGGCTGTGTGCCCTACCCACTGGGGAGGTCGAGCTTGGCCCAGCCTGAGGAGGCGGCGCCCGCGCCCAGGTGGCAGGAGTGGGCGGGGCACCCGCCGAGCTCTGAGGGCCTCACCAGCCCAGGCTCACTCTGCGCATCCCTCAGTGCTTGTGGTTACTTGGCCCTCGCTGTCACCTTCCAAAGTAAGTCCATTGACAAGTCCCTCTTGCCGGGAGGGAACCGCGGCCTAGGGGTCTTGACCTTACCCAGTTCTGTCCCTGGGCTGATCCCCTCCTCGGGTGGCGGCAGGCGGAGCAACCCCAGCGCTGGTAGCCGCGATGCGTGCCGGGGCCGCGTGTTGTTGTGCGCCGTGCGCGCCGCGCCGCCGTGCGCCGTGGCCGTGGGTGTCGTGGGACGCGCGGGCGGCGGCGGGGTTTGGCGGCAGCGGCGGCGGCAGGTATGGCCGGCGCGGGGCGGATGAAGACCCCCTGGTGTGGGGGGGGGGCACACTCGAGGTTTGGGCTGCTCCTGCGCCCACCTGGCTGTCCGCGTGCAGCGCCACGGAGAAGAGCCAGGGTGGGGCGCGGGAACTTGGGGTCGCTGGCAGAGGCACCCTGCATACCCCCCACTCTCCTGCCCCTAGTCGGCACAACTGCACTGCCCAGGGTCGGAGGTGGCCTCGGAGCGCCCACCATCCATTGAGAGAGGCGCCCTGAGGCCATTCCAGCCCCTCTCCCAAGGCCCACAGAGCCAGATCTGGGGAACAGTGAAGCGAGACTCCTGGTCCCCTAGAACCGGGGAAAAGGGGGGAGCAAAAGGCTGCCTACCCTCACCACCCCAGCTGGCTGTCACTTAGCAGTATCTCAGGCGAGCTCCCCAGGCTGCTGTACCAAGTCAGGTCCCCTACACCTCATGCTACGCACAGTCCAAGTCCTGGGCTTGCCTGTATCCTCAGACTCTCAGCACACACACCTCGGCCTGCGGTGAGATGCAAATTGCAGCCAAATCCTCCCAGCCCAGGATTAACAGACCCTTGGAGTGAGCTCTGTCATGCAAAGCAGAGGGAGGGATGCCACGGGAACAGGCAGTGTTCAGCCCCCTGCAATCTAGTCCCACCTCTCACAGGATAGTCTTAGAAATGGGACCCACAAAAGGGGGGAGGGGACAACACGACTGGTGTGCACACCTAGGTACCGTCCCAAGGCAGGGAAGACAGTGGCCTGTTCTCCAGTCCAGAACTGGGCCTGATGAGGCTCAGGGTGCAAAGGATGGAAAGTTTGCTATGCTGTTAATGAGCTCTGCTGGGGAGGGGGAACATGTGGGGCCTCATTAGTGGGGCCCCATGGGACTCTGGGTCTAGCACCCCCGAACCTCCTCTGTGGCCCTTCAGAAGAGTGGATAGTAGTGTGGCCCTAAGATTTGTCCCAGGTGTGGGTACTGGGTGGCAGCCCCCAGCTACGCAGCTCTGTTGCTTCCTCCTGTGCCAGTGGTGACACAACTAGGGCAATCATTTTTCTTTCAAGACAAAAAATGTTAATGCATGATTTTTTTCTAAACTAAAACCTCAGTATTCAGGTTTAATTGCAGTGTTGGCACTTTGTAATCAATGAGTTTTGGATTGCAGTTTGGGCACTCATCTCTAAAACGTTCACCATCACTATCCTATACCCTCCAGCCCCAGGCTGGCCACTTCTGAAGCCCCTGACGCCATGGAGGAGTGGGATGTCCCCCAGATGAAGAAAGAGGTAGAGAGCCTCAAGTACCAGCTGGCCTTCAAGAGGGAGATGTCCTCCAAGACCATCCCAGAGTGAGTCCTCACCTGCCCACCATACATCTCATTTTCATCTCATTTGTGTGCAGGACCTTGGCCCTGAGACAGGTGTCTCAAGGGCCTGCACTCACTCCTGCCCCACCCACAGGCTCCTCAAATGGATCGAGGATGGGATCCCCAAGGACCCCTTCCTGAACCCTGACCTGATGAAGAACAACCCCTGGGTGGAGAAGGGCAAGTGCGCCATCCTGTGAGCCAGACACAGTGGGTGTAAGGTGTGACTTTATAAAGACTTCTCCAGTCAGTGTCCTCCTGGTGCATTCCCTGTGCGTCTCGTGCTACAATAGGTCCCTGATGTACACGCCCCGCCGCACAGCATTGGAGACGCCCTCGTTGAAGCGGAACCAGACCTCGCTCCTGCCCACTGCTGTGCCCATGTGCCACTCTACCGCATCCTTCTCTGGGGCCTCGGTCTCTGTAGGGACCACAAGGTTACTCTTTAGCCACACCCAGCCCCTGGGGGATCCCCCCACCCACCCCTACACACCTGTACTTGGAGCTGCTGCTCTCCTGACAACCACACGTCCGAAGAAGTCCCTCTCAGGCTGTGGGAAGAGGGTATCAAGCATGGGGGATGGGTGGGGTGAGGGTGGGACACCACCGCAGGTCTTAGGACAGAGGTCTTGAGCCTGGGCTTACAGCTGGGGACACTTTTTCCACTCCATTACCCACTGATCCTATCCCAGCCCAATAGGTTCATCCTTAGGCCTCAGAGCCAGCCCAGCACTCCAGAGCCCACCCAACCCCCAACAGTGGCCTTGCCTGGCCCTGCTCCACACCTGCTCCTCCAGGGCTGCTTTCTTCATGATATGTTCCAGCCGCTGCTCATGGTTGCGCAGAGCAGGTTGCCTCACCTCTTTATCTCTACTACCCGAAAAGAGACCTTCAGGCCCTGGGGCACCCTGGTCCACCTGCAGGGAACACTGTGGTGAGGGCTGGCTGGGCAGAGCCGACACCATAGATAGCATCCACTCCCCAGGCCCCACTTTGCCCAATAGGGTAGGTTTACATGGGGCCTAGCTCACCTGAGGGCCAACCCTAGCATGGGCCAAAGCCTCTGCCCGACGCATCTTTTCCACCTCAATCTCCCGAGCGATGAGCTGCTTGGCCTGGTAGGTGAGGGGCTTTCGGGCAGGCAGCTCAGGGAAGTGGCAGACCTCCTCCACATTCCTGCTCAGGGGCAGGGTGGTACACCATGGCACTGGTCAGCAGGGCCAGGGCCAGAGGCCCGCCTGGTGCCCCAACCCCACACACTAGAACTCTGAGAGCTGGAGTGGGGGATGAAGTCCCACTGCAATTATACCCTGCCCCATGACAGCTGGGGATTAACAACCTTGAGCCTCAGTTTTCCCAACTGCAAGCAGAAAGATGAAGGAACCTGCCCACACACAGAGGAAGTAAAACAATGAGCAAGGCCAGGGATGCAGAGTCCTGAACACCAGAGCCCTCACTAAGCCACAAAACCCCAGGGCCATTGCTCTGGTACCTCACACACTAGCCCATAGCACCTGGAGAGCTTTCGCTGTCACTCATGAGGCCATCCAACTGGGGGACATGGAGGTTGGGATATGCTACAGTGAGTCAGGTCCCAGTCCTGTGCCCAGGGTGTACCCACACACAACCCTGTCACACCTGGGCAGGGCTAAACTGGGACTGAGCACTCCGGACACCTTGCCATGACCATGTGGGCTTTGGCACCCATCCTGCAGCCCTAGGCTTTCCCCAACCTGGAGCTGAGGACTCACGGCTCCAGCCTGTAGAGGTACTGTCCATCAGGTGTGCGCTCCTGGCGATAGGTAAGGCTGTAGGCAAGCATGGTGCCCACAAGGCTGGACAGCTGCTGCTTCTCTCGGGTACTGTACAGCTGTGTGCTCACCTGGGGGCAAGTGGGAGGTTAAGTAAAGCCAGAGCCACCCCTACCAGGCACTCTACCCTCTGTTCTATGCAAGGCACTCACGGGACGCAGCTTAGGTGTAAGGATGTCCAGGACCAGGCAGAGGGTGTCCAGGATGAGGGCCTGGGGTGTGGCCCAGCTGCGGGTGGCTGGTGCAATGCCTGACACGAGTGTTTGGATCAGGTTTCTTATCTGGCTCATCCTGTTCTGGGCCTGAGGCAGAGATGAGTCAGGGCTGTATCACCAGAACCATCTGAGGGCCAGACCCTGGCACAGACAGAGCCAAGGTGTACCTCTTGCTGGGTGCTGGGGAAGGCAATCCGAGGCACATGGCTGGAGGCAAAGAGCACATGGAAGGCTGCAGGCAGGAAGGACAGGTAGTGCAGGAGCTGGAAGCTCTGGCCGTGGTGAGCAGCCTGCTCCAACAGGTCATCAAAGGCCAGCCAGTCGAGGGCCATGCACACAGATCCCAGGCTGGAGTCCCGCAGCCGTAGGCGCAAGAAGTTGTCAAAAAGGCCCTGTAGGAAGCGGGAGCCTGAGCCTCATCCGCCTCCCAGCATTAGCAGTACTGCAAGACTTATCCCTTCTGCCCACTTCGCAAAGTCCTAAGTGCAGGGCTCAGCTGGAAGCATGAGAGCATGGCCAGGACCTAAGGGGTCCAACCTGAGCTGCCTTGAGACAGGACAGAATTCTGTCTACCCCACCAGGAGCCAGCAGGGGTACAGACCCCATCCCCTACTACACAGCTGGAAGGAAGCCCCAAACTCCCCCGACTTGAGAGTACCATCTGCATAGCTGCACTATGTCCCATTTCATGCTGTGGATTTCCAGATTGGCTAAAGATCCCCAGCCATTAATCCAAAGCTGCTTAGGGTTGGGAGGCAGCTTAGGCAAGGTTTCCTCAGAAAGGGCCTCTGCCACCAGCTTAGGCCAAAACACTAACCTACCTGCTCTCCACCCCATGTACCCTACATCTACAATCTAACCCCTCCCAGGCCCTGGAACCCGATGTGGGCCACAGCAGAGGCCTCCATCCCCAACCCTATCTTGCAGCTGTTCTCAGCCAGCAGGCAGTGACTATAACCCATTGCCAGAGCCCATGCTCCCTGCTTCCCTCTCTCATTCCCTTCCTGGCTCTCAAAGGTCCCCACAGCCTGTCCCTGTCCCTGTCCCTACCAACCCTCAGAGGCCACTCCAATGCACTCTCTATTCCTCCCTCATTCCTGCCTTTTCTCACCACATTCCACCATCCAGACTTCCTCCCAACCACTCCCTTCAGCAATGGAGCACCAAGGTTCCTACCCTAGGCCCTGCCCCCAGGGAGGGCTCACATGGAGGGTAGGTACCTGGACCACTTTCTCATGCTCGCCCGCAGAGGTGGTGACTCGCAGGATGTGGTAGAAGCTCTGGGAGGCCAGGGTCAAGGAGCCCATCTCCCTGTTACCAGGCAGCAGTGTGTGGGCTAGCAGGTTGGGGTCCTGGCCTCCAAGTCGCCTGCAGGAAGTGAGAAAGGTAAGGGTTGTGGCTGGAATAGGGCCCTCCTCACTCTTCTGGATGGGCTCACAGCTCCCACCCCAGCAGTGGCCCCTTCGGTCTTCCCAGTGACACCCTCACCGCCCTTACTGCCCTGGATACCTTATGTTTATATCACCCTGTAGTCACAGGGGACCTCAGTTACCTGGAGAACTCCCCTAAGTGGAACTCCCAGACCTTGGGAGAAAGACCCTAATGTGGACTGACCCTCAGGGTAGGGAGCTCTCAGAGAATGCCACCCATACAGGGCCAGGCTGGGAACTCTACATCACAGACCCAGAAGTCCCTGGGTACCTCCCTCTCTGTGCTTGGGGCACTGACCTGGGTCAGAGCAGACACACAACTGTCCCTACCCACCCGAGGCTTCATGGTCCTCCTCAGGTAGTAGAGATGGGTAAAGCCAGCCAGAGCTGAACCCTGAGCTCCAGCAACACTTGGGGCACTGAGCCATAAAGGTATGGAGACACAGACCCTTGAAGGCCAAGCCAGGCAGCCCCAGGGTCACGGAGATAAGGCTTGTTGGTAAAAGTGATACTGACCTGCACTGGGTGAGCTTCCTGAGGTCCTAGGCACTACAGGCACTTGGGCTGAGGCTAGCCTGGCACACACACCTACCTCTGAGCCCGGGGCAGCTGGAAGACCTCCTGCCACACGAAGAAAAGTCCTTTACGCTGGTCCTTGAAGCCAACATGGGTGGCCTGCACATCTCGAACACTCAGTTCCCACTGGCCACGCCTATGCAGGAACTGGTTGGGCAATGAGGTTAGAGGCCAGCACTACCCACCTTAAGCTACCCCTCCAGACTGGTTACCTTACCTGCAGGGTGTTAATGCAGGCACGAATGTCATTGTCTGCCTTCTCGCAAAGGGCTGCCAGTGCACCTGGGTCAGACTGCATCCCCTGCTGCAGGGAGATCTGCAGGGAGAGCAAGGGTGTCATAGGGGCTACGTGGCCCACCCTCAAGAGCCAATCCCATGGCCACAGCCCTATTCCCCAAGAACAGGGAGGTGAACAGCAGCCCTGTCCCATAGGCTGAACATCCCTGACTGGCCTCTGCCCCTCCCTGACGGCGCACCACCACAGGCAAAGCTGGTCCCAGATCCAGGTGAGAAGAGACCAGGACAGAGGTCACATCCTTTATCCCAGGTCACCCAAGCAACCCCTGGCTGCCTGCCCTGCCCTACTGACCTCCTGGAGCCGCTGCACCAGCCTTGAGGGCAGAGTCGGTGGGAAATGGAGCAGGAAAGCCTGCTGCTTTAGCTGTCGCAGAGAAGGTGTAAACCTGTAGAAAAGCTGGGTTGTGGCCACACTAGTACAAACACAGGGGCCCAGGCAAGACTATTCCAAGGCTGGGGCAACTCCCCCCACCATGCCCAGTACAGGCCACCCTACTTGCTAGTCAAGAAGGCCAGGGCCGCTGTTTGGTGCAGGCCACCCCTGGATGGTCACTGAGGCTAGGACATCCCATCTAGTGCAAGCCATCCTACTCACTGGTCATTGCAGATGCATATGATGGGCCTGGTCAGGAGGGTACCCTCTGTCCGGCGCCGTCTGCCCCCTCCTAAGGGCACAGCTGGACCACCTGGCTCTGCCTCCTGTGGACCCTTGCGGTTCAGGATGCTCAGGAGGACATTGATGGCAGCCTTTGGGGAGGTATAGAGAGATGTAGTGAGCAGAGGCTCTGGTTCCTGGCCACCCCTGCTCACCCCTACAGTAAGGAGGCCCACCGTAGGGGCCCCATCAATCTCATCAATGACCAAGCAGTTGGGCTTCCCGCTGGTACCCAGTACTGACTCCATCTGCGTGGCTGCCTCAATGCGTGTGCGGAAAGCCTCGGGGCTACGGTCATCACTGCAACAATAAGACCAGGAGAGCGTCCTGAGGCAGTCGGGGTAGTACCCAGTATTCCCAGCAGGACAGCCTCAAAGGTAGGGCTACACCTGCACCCCAGCCACGACTGAACATGGCCACCTCCAACCCCAGTGTCCCCTGACGAAGGACATGTACCACTTACCCAGGCCCTGGCCCCTTGTGAGGCAGGAACAACTGTAACAGGTCTCAAGGCTGCAGCCCAGACTCAATCAGATGCCTCAGGACAGACAGGAGACCAGGAACCAGAACCAGGCCTTCTGTTCCACTTACCTGGCATTCATCTCCACCACACAGTACCCAGCGTGTCGTGCAATCACGTGTGCCAATGTTGTCTTTCCCAGCCCGGGGGGGCCACAGAGCAGGGCCACCTGCAGCCAAGGCAGAAGATGCACTGCAAACCACACAGCCTTGGAAGCAAGTTCAAGCCAGAAAAAGGCTGAAAACCAGGCCTCTCAAGGCTGGGAGCTGCTGGCCATGTCCCTACCCACCAGCCACCAAACAAGAACACTGAGAGTGCTCAGAATCCAAAGCCAGTTCTTCAGAGCAAGAGAAAGTCCTGCAAGGAAAAAATTACATTGTGACTTGACAAGGACACAGCCAGTACTCAGTGGGTGGCCAATATCATAAACTACCCACTGTACAGGCAAACCATGTTAGTTAGACACAGAGTCCTTTGAGGGGCATTGGCATTTTCAAAACTGTTAGGCAAAAAGTTTCAAAATTTAACCTCACAATACTAGCACTTTGTATAAACACTGACACTAACTACATCTACAGGCTCTAGAAGCATCAAAAATGCATCCTGGACCTCTGAGGGCACAATACTATTAACTGCTTAGAGGGTAGTCTCGGGCTCAGAGGTCTACATCAAGGCTAAGAGGGGCTCACCTTCTGCCGGGGCCGCCCGTTTGGATCCAGCTCGGCCTCGAGCATCTCTTCCACCACTTGCTCCTGGCTTTTCCACTTCCCTGAGGCCGTGGCCTCCTTGCCAATCCGGGCTGGCTCTACATTGGGCCTGGGCTTCCGGGAAGGCCTCTCGTGGCCAAACACCACCAGGTCCCACAGCTTCAGCCACTTGAGCAAGCAGCGGTTGGTGAACTGTGGGGAGGGAGGAATGGCCTAAAGCAGCAATTTGAACCTTTTAGGCTTTAATGATAACAAACAAGCACCTGTGGCATTTGTGCCACAGGTGTATCACCACTGGCCTAAGGGAAGGACCCTGCCTGCCCCTCACATCAGCCTACTACCATAAGCTTGTGCCACAGGCAGAGCCACCAAGGCTCAGGAAGATGAAGGACTGCTCGTAAGTGGCAGAGGGACTCACACCAGGCCTACAGTCCCATGCCCTGGGACCTCCTCCCCTCCCCAGGGGACTACCAGCATCAGGTGCTACAAGGCAAGAAAGGGGACAGGCATGGGGCAAGAGATACCCTAGACACCTAGACCAGCTCACAGCAAGTCGCAGGTGGCTGGCAGCAAACCAGATATGTGGCGACTATTTCTCATTTATGACCCAATGGGGCAGACCAGAGCCCCCCACTTCATCCTGGCAGCCCACTGGTTTTGCAATACAAAGATCTTCCCTTTTGCAAACAAGGAAGCCAGTGACACCTGAGCAAGAACAAGACCTCACATCATCACTGAGCAGTTCTGTGTAGCGTTGGGGTGCAAATTCATCCACCCAGAGGCAGTGCTGGGATGTGTCTTGGCCATCAGCAGGCTCCTCCATGGGGTCCCTCATGCCCTGGGCTTCTTCCTCTTCAGACCTGAGGCTAAAGGGTATTGTCTCCTGATTCAACACATCCAGGCCTTGACCCCTCACAGAGACCACGTCCACACATACCCCACAAGGGTTAGTCCCAGAACCAGGAAGGGTCCTGAGGAGCAGGAAAGGCCCACCAAGTCACCTATGCAGAATGTCTGAGAGCTGCTGGGCCTCCTGTACCAACCGCTGCCGTCGCTGTGCAAACAGAACAGGATGGGTCAGGATAGCTCCAATCCCATTCCCCCTACTTCCCTGCACTCCCCAGCAAACCTCGAACACATCACCTCACTGTCAACCTGGTCCTTCAGGGAAGCAAAGGAGATACCCAGTAGGTCTAGCCGGCCAGGGCGTCGCCATCGGACATCCAAGAGAGGGCTCTGGTTGAGGAAGATAGCAGTCACCTCTGGACCCCTTCCTAGGTCATGGGATCACCTAAAACCCTTCCCCTCAGAAGCTATGTAGCAGGCTGATGTGAGTGGTGGGCAGGGTCCCTCCTACATAGAACCGTCTGACCAGGGACAACAGAGGAGGAAGCTACCAAACAGAGAGCAAGTCTAAGGAAGGCAGCTTTAAGGGGTAGAAAAAAGAGGGATTGGGTAGGAGCCTAGATGGTAGGGTGAGGCTGGAAGGCTACGCCATCCCTCTCCCAGCAGTTGCTTTCCCACCCCTGGGCTGCATAGACATACATGCCCATTTCCAGCAAACCAACAGGCAAAAGCTGCTGTGAATCTGCCGAGAGGTCCACAGTGGACACGAGGCCCAGATTCTTTCCTGGGCAGCATCAACCTGCCCATTCTATACAATGGACATTGCCAGCCCCACACTTGTAACTATGCAGTACCCACCTGTACTCCAGTGCCTGTGGAGTCAGGATGAAGCACCAGAAAGGCCCGGTCACCACCTGTGGAGGTCACGTTGATGTAATCCTCTAAGACAGGGGGCCGCCTCAAGACAGGATTCTGAGTGCCATGTAAGGCCTGTGTGAGACCTGCATCTGCAGCAACATCCAGAGGTCTGGGAAGGAACAGGGCTCAGTCTTAGGGACTTGTACCTCCTGTCACACCGGGATGGGGTACCTGTCAGCCACCAACCCCTCCCACAGGCCTCCAATCTGAGGACCTCACCCAGGGAACAGAATTCTTCCAAATGCCTCCTGGACAGATAGGGGGTAAAAGGGTGCCCTAAGCCACACACCCAGAACCCCACAGCTCCTTGGGGACCTCAGGACTCAGTGGGGGGGTTATGTCCCTTGGTGGGGACTCAGGAAACTGCAGATCTTCCATTTCTGGCCCAAAGTTCAGTCTCTTGACAGCCTCCAGCTTGGGCCGCTTGACTTTGGGAGCTGCAGAGGCACAACAGAGGAATCAGAACAAAAGCTCCTTCCCACTTCACTCCCACTTTGAACAGGGACCGCCTGTGGACCTACTGTGGGGCAGGGGCTCCTTGTTGGGGGAGGTAGCCTCCTCTGGCCGCTTTCTGGCACCGCATCTGCTGCTGCCCCGAGAGGCAGGGGGCCAGGGACAAGTGGCGGCGTCCCCTCCAGCGATGGCCTCCTCAAACGTTGGCCTGGGCCCGGCTGCAACAGGAGGTGGGACCCCCGAGGGCGGCAAGAATGGCATCCCTGCAAAGAAAGCGGTTCACCTCAGATGAAGCCCAGGACCGGAGCCAAGCTCCGCCCGCGACATTGAAAGCCTTCGCGTGCCGCCGCTCCCCCGACTTAGGTAGGGCATCACCACCAAGTAGCTCTCCCTGACTCCCGCCGCGCTCCCCATAGCCGGCACCCACCTTCCAGCTCGGCCAGCACCTCGAGCTCCGCCGCGAACTGGCTGTGGAAGTCGTCCTCCACGCCGTGCAGCTCCTCTTCGTAGTCCTCCATGGCGCTCTAACCTAACCCTAGCAGTGGAGACACCACTCCCTTGATACACTCCGTGCCCCGGGTGCTCCGAACCTCCCGCGCCACCGCCACCTCCGCTACCGCCACGCTCTGACCCCACCCCGAGCGTCCCGATGCCGCCAATCAGTGACCAGCGTGCCCAGCGGCGCTCGCCATTGGTCAGCAGGGCAGGGGCGAAGCTGCGCGCAAACCGGCGGGGTGAATCTCGCTCAGTGGCTGCAGTGAAGACCTGGAGCTTTCGCCATTGGTCGGTACAGCTGCTTGTCCGAGGTGAGGCGGGCCGTGGGCGGGGAGAAGGCGGGGAGAAGGCGGGGAGAAGGCGGGGCTGCGCGCACGGGTGGGCGGGCAGAATTGCGGCTCGCGGATGCTGGGGCACCTAGGGTGGGAACGCGGGCTGAAGCCACAGGCAGGAGTGACATCCAGGCCCCGACGGCGTGAACAGGCCGCAGGTCAGTCCTGAGGTGGATAGGGGTGTAAGAGGCTCTCTGAGCTGGGGTTTGTCCATCAGGGCGCTTGCGAGCGGGGCCGTGGGCGCCTGCGAAGGTGGGTGGACTCTCTCTTTGCTCTGTCCACTTAGAAAAGGCCCACACCCCGGCTTCTTCTCCCAGGTCTGGAGTGGCCCAGGTCACGGCGGGCTAACCCCTATCTCCGTGCGCGCCACCGCATCCCTCTGTCCTCCTTTCCCCCCCTAGGATGGGTCAGAAAGGGCTCCTACTCTGAGGGCACACACATCCCGCCTAAAATACAAAGTGCTGCTGGAATTGGAAGGCCCGGGGCTCACTCCTGCCCTCGCGGCAGGCCCTGCCATGGAGCCAGGCAGCGTGGAGAACCTGTCCATCGTATATCAGAGCCGCGACTTCTTGGTAGTAAACAAGCACTGGGACCTGCGCATTGATTGCAAGACGTGGCGGGAGACCTTGACCCTGCAGAAGCAGCTTCGGCACCACTTCCCAGAGTTGGCTGACCCTGACACCTGCTACGGGTTCAGGTATGTCCCCTGCGCAGGTGTCCCATAGCAGCCACTGGAGGGAAGTCACTCGCACGCTGAGCTTTGCCAGGGGTCCCTGGCCACCATCCAACAGCATCTGGATATCACTGCACCTTGCTTTCCATAGGTTCTGCCACCAATTGGACTTCTCCACCAGCGGGGCACTGTGCGTGGCACTGAACAAGGCAGCCGCAGGCAGTGCTTATAGATGCTTCAAGGAGCGGCGTGTCACCAAGGCTTACTTGGCATTGGTAAGAGTAGAGCAGGGGGACCTAGGACTCCCACCTACTTTCACAGGCCTCACATGGCCACTGGATGTCAAGCAGACTTCCCAGTGATGGCAGGATGGGCCACTGAGGTACATGTAATAACCCTTACCTGGCAGGTTCGGGGCCATATCCAGGAGAGCCAGCTGACAGTCAGCTATGCCATTGGCAGGAACAGCACAGAGGGCCGGACGCATACCATGTGCATCGAGGGCACACAGGGTATGACAGCCATGGTTGGGGGCCAGGGCACACATCCAGCAAGGGCCCTGCACAGAATTGCCCATCTGGGCCAAGTGTGGGTTTGGGTTGACACCTGCTCCTACATCCAGGTTGCGAGAACCCAAAGCCAAGTCTCACAGAGCTTCTGGTCCTGGAACACGGGCTATATGACGGCAATCCTGTATCCAAAGTGCTGCTGAAGCCACTGACAGGTGTGTCCAGGGCAGGGCAGGGGTCCAGTCATGCAAGAAAGTGAGTTGAGGCACAGAAACCATGTGGCCTGCCTGGGTCATCTGATCACCTGGGAGCAGCCAGTGATAAGGTCTGCTGGCAGACCCAGAATGGTCTCTTGTCCTGGACCTTGATGTCTCACATATAGTAGGGGACAGAGGGTCCCATCCCAAGGTGTGGCTGTGAGATTCTGAGGCTACAGCAAGGGAACCTGCTAAAAGTGATATAGGCTGGGTGAGGTGTAGGCATAGAGCTGCCCACCTTAGCCTGACCTCCACCTGCCCCACAGGCCGGACTCACCAGCTGCGTGTGCACTGCAGTGCCCTCGGTCACCCTATTGTGGGTGATTTGACGTATGGGCAGGCCACTGGCCAAGAGGACCAGCCTTTCCGCATGATGCTGCACGCATTCTACCTGCGCATCCCCACATTGGCTGAGTGTGTGGAGGCCTGCACGCCGGACCCCTTCCTGTCCACCCTCGACGCCTGCTGGTGCCCTCACACCCTGGTGCAACCTCTTGACCAGCTTCTCCAGGCCCTGCGGGCTGCCCCTGACCCTGGGCCAATGGATGGGGACCCTGGGTCCTGTAGCCCCCCTGTACCCCTACCCGGGCCAGGCCAGGGCCCTCCTGAGACTGAAGCTCAACGAACATCCTGCCTGCAGTGGCTGTTGGAGTGGACACTGGAACCAGACAACTGAGGGCCACTGTGGGGTGCTGGACTCAGCTGGGCCTGAGGGGAAGGGCTAGCAGGGCAAGCAAAGGGCCAGGCAGGCATGACTGCTGGAGGTCTGTGCTGTCCGCCTATAGGATTGATACCTGATTAGGGGGTCTTCCTCCCAGTGTCTCCTGGGCAAAACTCTTCCTGCTAGAATGGCTTTGTGATTCCAAAGTTTCCCCCTAGCAGTGGTCGTGAACCTATGGCACATGTGCTACAGCCAGTTGTTATTGAAACCTCTAAAAGGTTAGCCATCACTGCCCTAGGGCCTCATCTAGCAGACTTAGCAGAGGCCATCTAGCTGGTAGTCTCAGAACTAGGATCTGGACAGCCTTTGCCCGCAAGTGGGTTCCTGCTGGCCCAGCAGCTGCTGCATTTGGTGCCCTACTCACCCAGAGGGCTCCTCACCTGGGCTTTAGCCCCAGGTCCACCCAGTCCTGTGAGGTGTTTCACTCTCTTCTGATCCTCTTAACTTGCAGCCTGCCCAGACCCCATACTGCAGTCACACCCTGTCTCCTGCCTCGCCTTGCCTGCCTCAGGCCTTTGCTTTAGCTGGACTCTGCCCTGGGCCCCGCCCTCCTTTGCCTGCAATCAGTGCTTGGCTCTGATGTGTTGGGCTGTGCGGGGCATCAGCAGAGGCCTGTCCCTTCAAACCCAACATGTATGCTGCTTTTGCTGTGGGGCTTCTGGGCTCCTGGTCCCTGGGTGCAGCTCCTGCCAAAGCAGCACCTGCCTGGCTCCCATAAGGCCACATGGTGTCAGACTCTGCCTTTAGGAAGCAGCCTGGCCTTATCTTCTCTGTTCCTTGCAATAACACCATGCTCATGACTGCAGCTGGGACATAGGATTTGGAATAAATGTTCAGTAACCAATCCCAAGAGTGACCATGAGTACAGTGATCTCAGCTCCAACCCATCCATCAGGGCCCTCAGTGGATCTCAGTCCTGGCTGCTGACCAGCCCTCCCTTCAGGCCATGTGAATTTGGGGCCTCAGAGGCTGAGCTCTTGGGTGCAGAAGCCAGGTGGCCACAGAGGAGCCTGGCCTTCCAGTCAAAGGCATCAGAGTACCAGGCCAGTCTCACCTGGAGTCCCTTGTGGGTCTGCTATGTGCACCACAGAGGTCATGGGCCTGGTTTTCAGAATCAGCTCTGTGACGAAGAGTGTTCTCCTGGGTTGCCTGTCTTAGTCCTGGGTAAGGTCCTAGTAGCAACACTGGGTGGGGCAAGAGGAGGTGCCTTCTGGGGCCCTGGACCAGTTTCTTCACCCTTGGCCTCTTGGGGAGGCTAAGTCCCTACCTCAGGGTGTGCCCCCTCTGAAATGCACCTCCTTAGCTGTCTTCCCACCTGAGGTGACCTGGTTCATGTCCTACTTCCTCTGGGTGTCAGAGGGGCAGCGAATCAGCCTCATGGGCCTGCCTTTTCTTGGGGCAGCAGGCCCTAAGGCTACATATTCCATGGCTTGTTGACCATGGGTACTTCTGGGGGCTGGGCCACTTTGCACCTAGGTGCCCCCCAGACTTTAAGGAGGATCATCTCAAAGCATCCCAGAAGCCTAGCCCTGCCTTGTCCCCAAAGCTAGGCAGGGTTGAGGGCTGACCTCATGACATGTCACTAAGGCCAGCAGCTGCTCTCAAAAGAGATACCGAAAAGCAAGTGGGGCTACCTTCAGTATCCCCCATACTAGGCCCTGCAGGGACAGACAGCATCCCCAGGAGTTGTAGGTGGCCTGTGGAAGGGGTGACAGATGGGAAGGTAGACAGGCAGGCAGGTGACCAAAGGATAGACCCTGTCCTCGGGAAGTCTCCACCTATGCTTTCCCTGAAAGGTCTGTCAGCCACCCTGGTCTCAAAGGCCCAAAGAGCCCCACCTACCCACCATGTCCAGTCCCTGCTCCCATGCAAGGTAGACTCCAGGCTGCAGAGCCCCAACATGAGCCCTACCCAGCCTGTCTGTCCCTCCTCTCCTGGCTGTAGAGTAGACAAGTTCTGGAGGATGTGGAACATCAGGCAAGGCTCCCTAGAAGAGGGGTTTCCTCAGACAAGGCACTCCAGGTGGGGACCACGGGAAATGTGTGCAGGAGTGCTGAAGGCTCTGCCCAGCATGCACAGGCACCAGTACACCACTGTGTAGCCTCCAGCAACTCACTCAGCCTCTCTGGGCCCCTGTCTCTTCCTGGGAAAACCAGGATTACTGCTGCCTAAGGGCCATGAATGGGCTTAATAAACCAGAGTTTGGGACCCGATGTGGTTGTCTCAGCAACAGCTCTCTTTCTCTGCTGTTTTGCCTAGCCTAGCCCCAGGGCTTCTCTAGCAGCCAGACTCACAATGGGCAGGCCAGCTCCTACCCTTGCCCCAGCCTGCCCTGGGCTCTGGGGGGGTGAATGGAGAGCCCCCACCTACACTCCACCCATGCAGGCCCTTCCACTTCCAGAGCCATTTTGAGCTCTTACACAGCCAAAGCCTGCTCCCAGGAAGTTCTGGGGCTCAGGGTAGGCATGCCCTCTCCCCAGGACATTTCTCCAAGTCTATCCCCAGACCTTGGCCCCCTCCAAGCTGGGGCTTCCAGGTCTCATGGCCTTCACCACTGCCTAGTGCAGCTGTGGCACTTGCTATGTCTGCTGTTCTGGTACTGCTGGTGGCCAAGGAACCCTTCGAGACCCATCTTGAGCTGGATGAGACTTTGGACCATGCAGGCCACCCAAAGGGGCCACTGGATCATGCTCCTGGGCTCTGAAGGGGACTGTCAAGGAGCCTGTGGGGCCTTCACCTGCCGTCAGCACTTCCAGAGCCTGGCTCAGCCCAGCTTGCTGGTACCCAAGACCCTGGAGTGCATGTAGATGGAGGCTACCTAGTCACACTACAGAAGCTTGAGACTCTGGAACCCTGAGACCTATAGGTAGGTAGAGGGCCAGGGCTGGGGCCATGGTCCAGGGCCAGCCTTAGGCAACCATCCCTACCCACCTTGCCAAGGAGAAGCTTCTTCAGGCACCATTGGCAGAAAGTAGGGAAGTCCCTGCTTTATCTCACCTCCTACCCTGGCCCCTAGGAGTTCTGCCCAGCAGAGCCATCCCACCTTGTGCCCCGGGACTCACCTGGCTGCAACTGTCAGAGGCCTGAGCAGGGCCTTTGGCTGGGACAGTGCTATGTGTAGCTGGGCTCTCCCAAACATAGGTCCCTGAATGTTCATTTTGCTCCATGCCCACTAGCCTGTGCTCACACCTGCTCACCCCTGTATCTATCCCCACAGAAGGGCCAATTAGCTCCCATAGTAGTCCATGAGTGCCTCATGTTGGGGAAACATGAGCACATGTATGAACAAGCTCTAGGACCCACAGATCACATAAACTAAGATATACATGTATGTGCAACATGTGCACACAGACACTGATACCTGTGACAAAGGTAGGCTCACACCCCAGCCACCAAGGGGTGTAGACACCCAGGGCTGGGCTTCCATGGAGAGGGCCAGTGTTGGGCAGCAGCCAACCATGAGCTCAACCTTCTGCCCCCCTGGGACTGGGGAGCAGGCACCCGCTGAGCTGAGCCCCTGGGAATGACAAGGCAGCAGCCCAGCCCCCGCCCAGGCCCCTCCCCTCCAGCTGTCTGGCAGGTGTCACTGGGGGCCACCAGACAGAGCAGTTGGGTACAGCCTGCTAAGTAAGGCATGGAGGCAAGTGAGGGCCCAGGTATCCCTGCCCTACACCACCCCTGTCCCCCAGGCTGATGAGCTGCACAGCATCTATAGCACCTGATCTATAGCTCCCTGTATCTACTGCACGTGGCCAGGAGCAGCCTTGTCCCCAAGCTCTGGGCAGCACCTCCTCTACACAGACAGTGTTCCTGCTCAGGTGAGAAGCATGGGCAGGGTGGGCCTGCCAGGTGGACCCCAGGGTTCCTGGCTGCACTTCTGGGCACTGGGCATCCCCAGGGAGGTGGTTGAGTCCCTCTGAGCCTCCTTTCTGTCCCTAGCATAGGGTGACAACCTCCTCATCCTCCTCTCAGCTTTGTAGATTCCTGAGTCCAAGGGAGCCCAAAGCTGTCAGACTGTACTCACTGTGCCCAGAGGAGCTGGCGGTATATAGCTGTCCAGCAGGCCTGGCTGGGCCCCTGAGCCCCAGGAGACAGTTTCCAGTGACAGAGTTAGTGTATAAGATCTGGAGAGGGGACAGGAGGCACTTGGGCTGCTAGGTGAGGGGCACCTCTCCCCCAGGGCCTGCAGGACTCACTGTTTGTAAGAGATCTGTTAATTGGAGACACTGCTGCAGTGCGGGTCCCTAGAGCCCAACCTGTGATAAGAAAGGCAGGGCTTGCAGCTCCTCTCTCCCTATTCTGACAGTTGTTTGTGGAATTATTTCCCTCCCAAAGGCAGAGCAGATGCACCGGGCCCCCACCCAGGGTCAAGCATCCTGTGTGACACTGGACATCTCTTTTGTGCCCCGAAGCCAGCCTGCATCACTCCCTTCCCTTCCTCTTCAGCTAGTCCTGGACCTACTGCCTGCTGTCCCATTGTATTCCTGCCTGGGGACATCTCAGCCAGGATGACCAGCACTTGCTGCCGCTCTGCCATAGGCCCCAGAATGGGTAAGATGATGCTTCCCTACAGAAAGGCTCCCCTGGGCCCTCTGGGAGTCTGGCAGGCCTACATGGTAGGGCCATCTGCTTAGCTGCAGAGGCAGAGGATGCTCAGATGAGGCCACCCCATCCTCATGAACCGAAACTCAGGGACATGCCCCAGTGAAAGGAGGGGAGGAAGGCAGGGTCCCCTAGCACAAAGGGTTGGCCAGGTGATACAAAGGGACATTGTGAACACAGTCCCTGTAAGGGCCTTGAGGTCCCAGAAGGAATGGAAGACCCATGGCCTGCCAGGAATGGTAACACATACCTGTAATTCCAGCTGCTCAGGAAGCTGAGGCAAGAAGATTGCAAGTTAGAGGCCAGCCTGAGCTACATAGTGAGACCTTGTCTCAAAATGGAAAAAATAAAGAGGGCTGGGATGTAACTTACCTAGCATGTAGGAAGCCCTGGGTTCAATCCCCAGTAACACAAAAGGGAAGGGGGTTGCTGGATCAGCCAGAAGGACAGAGTTCTTTCAGACAATCCCAACACAGGCCAGGCCAGGCCCCTAGGAAGGGAGAGGTGATGGAGTCCAGAGACATCCTGCCCAGTCCTGTCCTCCTGAGAACAGCAGGCTCCCAGACCCAGCATTTGAGGACCCACAGACAGTTACCCTAGCCAGGGCAGCACCTGCCAGGCCCAACCCCCATCCACGGGTCCTTTCAGTGCTAAAGATTTTGCAAATTGGTCTTCCTAGGGCCAGTGAGATGAGGCTCTCTGGACACAAAGCCCATCTAGTGGGCTGGGCTTCCAAGACTAAAACATAGCCCAGGCTCCCTGAGTCCCATTAGAAGGCCCTGTTGCACCCCACTGCAGAGGCTAAGGGGGCTTGGGATGAGGTGGGAGTCAACTTCTGCCCCTGACTCAGGGTCTCAGTGAAGACAGAGCCATGGCAGGGTGGTCTGGCTGGAGGGAGGAACTTACAAACATGCACACATCAGCACACAAGAGTGCACACAGACCTGTACCACACACGGGCCCAGACTGGGTGCCACATGAGACTGCACAGCTCCCAGGGTCTCCTCTGGTCTCCCACTGGAGCCCGTGGCTGTGGTGGGGGTCACAGGCCCACTTGGGACATACACAGACCCCAGATGACAAAGGGCACCCATGCACACCCTGACACCGAGCCCTCATGGCCCACTCTGTTCCAGGTGCCTTGGCAAGCCCTGGCCTTGCCCTCCTCCTGTCCCTCACTGCTCACTGCTCTGGTCCCCAGACTGAGGGTGTTCTCCAGGGAGGGCTGGATGTCGGCAGGGTCGACCCATGGGCCAGGTGAGTGCTTGGAGCCGTCCTGCAAATCCAGTGTTTTCTGTGGCTGATTGGTGGGAGGAAGAGGAGGAAGAAGAGGAGGGTCCTGACCCTGGGCTGGCCCTTGAAGGTCCTTCAGGGAGAGACCACGTCCAAGGATATAAAGCTTTGACAGGGAGGGCCACTATACCCTAGGCTTCGACCTACAAGACTTTCCCCAGATGACTCAGCATGTCCAGCTTCAGTTACAAGTCCAGGAGTAGATCCCCAGGCTGTTATCCAGGTTGTTCCCAGGCCAGGTGCACCACAGGCCTAGCCAAATCTACCTTGGCCAGGATCACCTGAGTCTGCCCTTGGGGCTCCTGGCCATTGGACCCAGCTCTGCACCCACTCTCGTGGCCTCAAAGCCATTACTTCTCCCCAAGTCCTCTCAGCTCCCTTCTACCCCCAAGCTTGTTGTTTCTTCTTACTATCCAGGAGCCTCGAGTCTGGCCTTGGCCTCCTCTTCATCCCTAGGAGCTGGTAGTCACTGATGGTTCCATCAATCAATTAATGAAATGATCAATCAGGCAGGACCGGGGTCCCATGTGGGAATAACCACGCCCAGGCTAAGGCCATCCAAGACCCTTCTTTGTGAGGAGATCCCATTCCAGTCTCACCCTGAGGAAGGCTTGAAGATGGCCTAGGCCAGTGATGGCGAGCCTTTTAGAGCTTTCAATGATAACAAGCAGCCCACTGTGGCACATGTGCCATAGGATTGCCACCACTGACCTAGGGTGTGACCACCTAGCAGGTGCCTCTAGGCCCCTCAGCAGCCTGCAGGGATGGTCAGGGCCTGGGCCCGGGAGCCACTGCCGATGGACCCCTGAGTACACATAAGCCTCATGCATCTGAGAGCCTTGCCCCCACAGCCTGCTCCATAGGGAATGAATGAACAGAGCAGAAGTCTTATGTGACAAGCCACTTCCACCTCTCACTTCCTGGGAAGTGGACAAATCTGCCCTTGCTGGAGTTTCCCCTAACAACTCTGTGTTCCCTCGTGTCCTTCTCCTCCTCCCCAGGGCCAATACTGCCCTCCTACAAGATTTCTGGTGCCAGCCAGCTGACCAGCTGCCACGCGAGCAGCTCTCTGCCCTGCTGAGGAGCCTGGCATCACAGCACATCCGACTCCAAGCCTGGCAGGTGAGTGCCATAAAAGGTGGTGTGAAGGGGAACCCAGTCCTTGGAGGGGGCCAGGTCGGGGGTGCAGGTATGCAGTTCCTCTGAGGAGAGGGCAAGCTCACAGCTCAGTCAATCTGCCAGGTTCAAAGCCACCTGGGCGTGCTCTGCAGTGGCCCCACCGGGACAGGAAGTTTGGTCTCTCTAAGATAGACTCTTCCTCCTGGGAACAGCTTTGTGGTGTGGCCTATGCTGGCCACTTGAGCCACTTTGCCTGCAGATGCTTCTGCTTCTTGTTCCTGATGAGGATGAAGCTTATCTGCCTCCCCTCTACAGCTTCCTGGTGTGCAGTGCCCTTTCCTTCAGGCTTCCAGGGCTCATGTGATGATGGGTTGTCAGGCCAATGGTCTCTGCTCCAACTCGGGGTATGGGGCCCTGAGCAGTGAGAGCCAGCAGAGCCTGGCTGGGCCCTGCAGCATACTAAGGCATCAACCACTCTTGAGTTAAGAGGAAGAAAGGAAGAGAGGGCAGGAGCAGGATGTGGAAGCACACACCTGTAATCCCAGAACTCTGGGAGGCTGAGGCGGGAGGATCATAAGATCCAGCCCTGCCTGGGAAATTTAGCAAGATCTTGTCTCAAAATAAAAAAGGGCTGGAGGTGTAGCTTAGTGCAGAGGCTCTGGGTTCAATCTCCAGTATTGAAAAAAATTATGGTAGATATTAATCTAACTATATCAACAATCACTTGGGCCGGGGATTTAGCTTAGTGGTTCCGCCACCTGCCCTGCAAGCACAAGGACCCAAGTTCGATACCTGGTACTGGGAAAAAAAAAAATCACTTTGAGACCTGGATGTGATGGTGCATGCCTGTAATCCCAGCACTTGGGAGGCTGAGCCAGGAGGATCACCATGAGTTTGTGGCCACCCTGAGCTACATGGTGAGTTCAAGGCGAGCCTGGACTACATAGATCCTGTCTCAAAAGCAAACAAATACCCAATCACTTTGAATGTCAATGGTCTAAACACACTAAATAAAAGACAGATTGCAGGGCTGGGGATTTAGCTCAGTGGTTCCGGCACCTGCCCCAACTCTGTTATCTACCCAAAAAACCCACTTTATTTATTTATTTACTTACTTATTTATTTATTTTTGGTACTGGGGATTGAACTTGGGACCTTGTGCTTGCGAGGCAGGCAGCGGAACCACTGAGCTAAATCCCCGGCTAAAAACCCCACTTTAAATGTAAAGAAACACATGGATTTAAAGAGAAAGAAACAGGGCCAGAAATGTAGCTCAGCACTGCAACATCTGCCTAACAAGTGCGAGTCCCTTAGTTCGAGTCCTGTTAGCAAAAAATAAAAATTAAAAATTAAAAAGAAAATAGAGAAACAAATGGATGAAAAGTGTAAATGGATGGGGCTGGTGATGTAGCTCAGTGGTAGAGTACTTGCCTAGCATCCATGAGCCCCTGGGTTCAACTTCCCATTCCAGAAGAAAAAAAAAGAAAACCCTGGAAAATATTTCTTTCTGAAAGAAAAAAAAGGTATAGTTATGTTAATTTACGCAGGACAGAATTTATAGCAAGGAAAGCAATTAGGGATATAGTGCGGCATTGCATAATGATAAAGTAGGCAATTCTCCAAGAAGATATGACATTCCTTAATATGTATGTGCTTAACAACAGAGCATGATGATACAAGAGGCAAAAACTGACAGAACTGCAAAGAGAAATAGATGAGTGACACAGTTGGAGACTCCCCATCCCTCTGTCAGGAATGCTCAGACCTAGTAGGCAGGACACGGCTGAACTCAGCAGCTCCATCAGTCAACTGGGTAGAACTGATATCTGTAGATACTTTGTCCATCAGTAGAGCATATACATTTTTCTCAAGCCCATGTGACACAGTCACCAAGGAGACCACATTCTGGGCCATAAAATACACCTTAATTTTTTTTTTTTTGAGACAGGGTCTTGCTATGTAGTTCAGGCTGATCTTGAACTCACTATGTAGCCCAGGCTGCCCACAAACTCAAGGTGATCCTCCTGCCTCAGTCTCCCAAGTTCTGGGATTACAGGCATGCACCACCACGCCCAGTAACACACCTTAAATTTTGAAAGTACAAATCATATAATGGGGACCGGGGATTTAGCTCAGTGGTTCCAGCACCTGCCTTGCAAGCGCAAGGACCCGAGTTCGATCCCCGGTACCAAAAAAAAAAACAAACAAATCATATAATGTCTAATCTCAGATCACAATAGAATCAAATTAGAAATCAGTAACAGAAAGGTAGCTGAAAGACTACCAAATACTTGGAGATTAAACAAGATGCTCTTGAAAAATACATGGGCCAAAGAAGTCACAAGACAATTTCTTAAATGTTTTGAATTAAATGAAAATGCAATTTGTCAAAGTTTGTGGGGAATGTGAAATCAGTGGCTGACTGAATGGATGTATTAAAAAGAAAGCTCTTCCTCGGCGTGGTGGCACACACTTGTAATTCCAGCCCTTCGGAGGCTGAGGCAGGAGGATCACTGTGTGTTTGAGGCCAGCCTAGGCTACATAATGAAACCCTGTCTCAAAAAAAACAGAAAAAGAAAGCTCTGAAATCAGTCATCCAAACTTTCATGCTAAGAAAGTAGAGGAGGAGGAGCAACCCAAGGCTAAATGAGCAGAAGTCAATGAAGCTGAAAACAGGCAATCAACAAAACAAAAGAAGCTTCTTTGAAAAGATCAATAAACTCCCAGCCAGGTGAAGAAAAGGAAAAAGAAAACAAAAATTATTAATATCAGGGCTGGGGATTTTAAGCTCAGTGACACTGTGCCTGCCTCGAAAGCACAAGGTCCTCAGTTCTATCCCCAGTACTGAAAAAAAAATTATTAGAATCAGAAATGAAAGAGGGGTCAGCACTACAGAGCTCATGGATAATAAAGGAACATCTGTGCACACAAAAGTGACAGCTTAGATGAAACGGATCAATTCCCTGAAAGACACAATCTGTGGAAGCCCACACAGGGGAAGTAGATCATCTGAAGAGGCTGGTACCTATTAAAGATGGAACCAACAATCAACCTGCCAGCACTGACTTATTGTTAATATTTTCCAGGGTTTTTTCCTTTAGTTGTACCTTATAAACAGCATAGATCTGAATTATTGTAAACCTAATCTGAAAATCTCTGTTTTTTAGTTACAAAGTTGGTCTGTTTACATCTATTAGGATTGTTAGGTTTGGGGGTTTTTGTTTGTATGTTTGTGTTTGTGTTTGTTTTTGGTACTAGAGATTGAACCCAGGGCCTTTGCACTGACCTAGATTCCCAGCCCTTTTTTTTTTTTTAAGACAGGGTCTCCCTATGTAGCCCAGACTAGCCTTGAACTTGCTGTGATGCTCCTGCCTCAGCTTCTCCAGTGCTAAGATAGGTGTGCATCACCATGCCAGGTGCTGTTTTTTTGTTTTTGTTTTTGATGTTTGGTTTTTTGGGTTTTTTGGTTTTTGTTTTTGTGACACTGTTTTGCTAAAATGCCCAGTCAGGACTTGAACTTGCAATCCTCCTGCCTCAGCCTTCCCTAGTAAAGAGATTATAGGTGTGGACAACCACACCTGGTGCAGGGTTGTTGCTTTCTTAGGCCTTGTTTTTTCCATCTGATTTTTCATTTTTCCTTGCTGTACTGAACTTTCTCACACGTGTGCTTCAATTACTGGGGTGAATATTGACACCTTCAGCTGGGAGAGGGGGCTGGGTCCAAACTGGACAGAGTGTGACCTGCTGCCCATCTTGACCAGCTCAGCTGCTTGGCCAACTTCGTGTCCCGGCTCAGCCTGCAGGACGACTTTGCGCTTCACCCACCAGACCTCCTGCTTTTCTACAAGTGAGTGTCTGCCCCATGGCTTCCTCAGCCACTAGGATATCCTGCCAGCATGGGCTGAGCTGCCTCTCCCAGGCTCAGCCCTCCTGATGTCCTCCCATCTGCCTGCAGCCTGAGCCAGGTGAAGCAAGCCAACTGTCGGGCCTTCACCTGCCATGCAGCCCAGGGAGACACAGAGCTGTTGGCCAACCTGCCCGACCAGAGGATAGCCCTTCGGCATACAGCCCTGGCCTGCCTGGTAGGCACCTCAGGTCGGGACAGGACAGCCACACGAAGGAGCCAGGCTGCCTGCTTAACACTGATCTACTGTCCCCACAGGGGGGACCCCACCTGCAGCTCAGTGCCTCAGAGCTGGGGCTCCTTGGGGTCCTGGTGTGTGACATGGATGCATCCAGCATTGTGACTGCAGACCCCCATGTGCTGCAGAACCTGTTACGCTGCTCCCGGCTGACCACCTCCCAGCAGGCTGCCCTCAATACCCTCTTGGCCAGTGGGAGGACCCAGCTTGGGTGGGTGAGGCATTGGGTGAGCCTGGGGCCTCCCCTCCTTGAGATGAGATGGGTGGCAGCCTGGGTTTGGGTTCTCGAGGTCACTGGTATCTACAACCCTGCTGACCTCTGACTTCTGATCCCAGCCCTCAGCCTCACTCTGACCCTGCAGGCTGTGGACACAGGGCTGCATGTCCTCAACAGGGAAGACCCCATGAACTGTGTGGATCCTGGCAGGGGGCTGAGTGCATCTGAGAACCTACTGGGTGTTCCTCCTGCCCTGCTCAGGGAAGGGCAGGTGGTGTAGGGCCAGGTGCTGCCCCAGACCCTGACACGGTTCCCTTCCTGTGCACCAGAACTCCTGGCTCCTGGAACTTGGAGGGGCTGCAGGCCCTGGGGCCCCTGGCAACCTACATCAGTCCCCACCTGTGGGAACAGGTGCAGGAGGTATAATGGTATGGGGCGGGGCATGTGGATTGGGATCTATTCAGCTATCCCCTTGACCAGCCTGTCCCAGTCTGAGGCCACTCTGAGGCCTGAATGTAGGGACCTATGGGGTGGGACAAGGGGCCAGGCTGCTCCATGATGTGAAGCCACCAAGCCTTCCCTGCCAGGCTGTGGGCCTGGCCTTCTTTCGCAGCATGGTGGCCGCCTGCCGGGTGAGGCACCTCAGCCAGTATGATGCCCGGCGCTTTGTCACCAGCTTCCTGGAGTCCAAGGCCACCTCAGTGTCCTCAAGGCCCAAGCGGGGCACAGGTCAGTGTGGCCACTGTGGGCTGGGATGCTATGTCTCTCCCTGTTTGAACTCCCCATCGCGGCCTGGTTAGAGGTCAAGCTTGGGGAGCCAAAACCTGATTAAGATCAGAAGTGGAAATCGGGGTCAAAGATGGGCCCCCAAAACCAGGTACAGTGACGTACATCTGTAATCCCAGCACTCCAGGTGGCCGAGGCAGGAAGATCACAAGTTCAAGCCCAGCCTGGGTAATTTAGCAGCTTAGCAAGACACTGTCTCAGAATAAAAAATAAAAAGGGCTGAGGATGTAACTCAGTGTAAAGGTCCTGGGTTCAATCCCCAGTACCACACACACACACACACACATGCACACTCACACACAAGCTGGGCCCCAACACAGATACCAGAGGTCAGCTAGGGCCTCAGCTGACCTCTCAGTCATCAGCATTCCCTGCAGGGAGATCCTGCATTCATGGCAACATCACAGCGGCCACACTGCAGGATGACCTCTTCCTGCTGCGCTATGACTGCACCCAGCTAGAGTCCTGCCTGGGCAGCCGCGTGCTCAGAGCCAACCTGGATCCCCTGCTGCAGCACCCACTGCCTGCTGAGTGCCAGCGTGTTGTCAAGGCCAAGCTCACTCAGGTATGTGGTAGGCAGGGCAAGCAGGTCTGACAGGGCATGGGCATGGCCACTGATGGGCCACCACCTGTCCCAGATCTACCCCCACGGTGTGCCTGAGGACCAGCTGCACCTTATCACCTCGCTGGTCTACCTCTACTCTCTGGCTGAGATAGGACAGTGGAACATCACGTCAGGGGACACTGTGGTGGCCCTGCTGGCCTCGAACGTAGCCCTGGAGAACCAGACAGAGGTGAGGACAGGGAGCTGTCTGGTCACCCTGGCCCACAGACCCCAACCCTATGGACCCCAGCCCCACTGACCCCACCTCACTGACTCCAGCCCCCTGACCCTGGTCCTACTGACCTCAGCCTGCTTACCCTGTCCCTACCCCCAGGCAGTCCTACAGAGGTTTCTGGACCACAATGGCATGGTCACTGGCACCCTGCTGGTGGCCATTGGGGGTTCTCGCCTCTGCTGGATGAGCCCCAGGCAGATCCACACCATTCAACCCTCAGAGTTCCGGTGAGCTGCCCAACTAGCCATCCACCTGGCAAGGGTCACAAGGAGAAAATGAAAAGAAACGGGGCGGGGGGATAAGGCTCAAGTGGGAAATCTGGTCTGGGCCTGACCACTGGAGGTGTATGGTCTCTAAGGGCCACGGTAACAAAGTACTATAGACTGAGTGTCTTAAAAAGAGAAATTTATCCCCTAGAACTGGAGACCAGAAATGCAAAGCTAAGGGGACAGCAGGGACAGACCATCATCCTGCTGGGAGGGTCCTTCCTGCTCTCAGCTCCAGCATTGCCCACAAGCCTTCATGTTCCCTGGCCTGCATTTGTATCCCTACAGGTCCCACCTAATCTGTGGTGGCTCCTCCCTGTCTCAGTCAAAATTCCCATTACGAGGAAGCCAGGCGCTAGATTTAGGGGCAGCCTAATCCAATCTGACTTCATCTTTTAATCTGATTTCATCCACCAATACTCTATTTCCAAATAAGGTCACATTCTGAGGTTCTAGGTGGATACAAATTTTGGGGGGACACAAATTTGGGGGGACACTGTTCAACCTAGTATAGAGGGCAAGAGGAAAACTGTGGTTTGGGGAAAGCAGCCCATCCCAGTGCCTATGCCCACTGCCCATCCAGCAGTGCGGAGGTCACAGGGCTCTGCTCATTGGCACCACCTCCACCCCCCAGGCTGGCTGGGGCCCCGGACCTCTCCTCCTGTCCTCAGAGCCGGAAGAATGTGCTCTTTACCAAGGCCCGTGAGGCCTTCAGCAACACCAGCACCACAGCTACCTACTACCACCTCATGCGCCCATACCTTGGTGAGACCCGGCCCTGCTGCAGCATCTCTCCCCAGGAGCTCCCAACCCTCATCCCTTACCACTGCCTCCCACAGGTGGCGCCCCTGTGGAGGAGCTGCAGCACTTGGCCCAGGCCAACATCTCCATGGACATTGACACTTTCACCAACCTCAATCCCCACGTGCTGAAGGTGGGGCCTGGGCATCTGGCAGGGGGTGGGAGGCATGGCAGGTCCCTGGGCCCCAGCCCTGCATGTCCCGGGTCAGAACAGTGCAACTAGTGTGGGCCCTGTCACTCCTTCAGGCTGGCCCTGCCCCTCACCCCCATCCACATCAGTGCTAGGTCCTGGGAGACACACTGATCTCAAAGGATTCTCCCTTGGGCCCCCCACACAGCCCCCTGGCTTCCCTCACAGAGTCTGAGCATCAGCAATGTGACCACGCTGCTGGGCCAGAATGTGGGGGACCTGCAGAAGGCCCGCAGCCACCCTACCGTCAGCTCCTGGCTGCGCAGCCTCAACAGGTCAGCCCTGGGTGAGCTGGGCCTGGACACTAACCTCGCCAGCCCCACCCCTGCCCAAACGACCAGAAGACTCCCCAGCACTACCCTCTCAGCATCCTATCTGGCCACCTCCTCCAGCCAGCCAGGGAGCATCAATGCAGCCCCCACCTCAGGTACAGCCCGTGCCCCTCACTGCCCATTGCAGACCCCTGGCTGTTCCCAGTTCTCATCTTGTATGTGCTCTCCCATCAGCCTCCTGAGTGTCCTCTGGGTGATATCGGTGTCACCTTTCATTACCTGCTGAACCATTTAGGGACATAAGTGCCCCCTCCAACCCAAGCAGCAGAAAGTGGGCTGGGGAAGTTCTTCAATCTTCTGGGGGGAAGTTCTTTCGTTTGACAAGTCTTTATTGAGACAAATGGACATAGAATGTAAGAGGGGCAGTGTCTGGACATGGAAGGGCTTCCATAGATGAGATTTCTCACTGGTCCTCCCTAGCTCAGAGGAGGGGCTCTAGCCAGGACTGAGGGACCCCTCTCATCCCCTGTAGGCAGCCCACCGGTCCACCTGGCATACTTGCTCCTCTCAGTGGCCCTGCCCTCCATCCTTCTGTGGCTGCTATTGTTTGGGCGCCTCCAGGCCCGATGGGGGATGATTGTGCAGCACCAGGACCCTGGCCACTGTGGACAGCACTGACCTATGGTGACCAGACCCATGGGCATCACAAGACAGAGCTGCTAGAAGAAGCTGGATGACTGCCCAGCCAAGGTGCAGCCCTGGGCCCGGGAGACCTGTAGTGTCCCCGTCCTAGGTCTACAGGGCTGGTTCCATACACCTCAGCTCCTGGGACCTACATCTGTGAGAACCAGGGACCTGCCTAGCCACAGGTCCAGGCTGGCAGTGGGGACAATTCCAGGCCCTCTGCAGGATAAATGGAACTAGGTAGAGCTTCGATCTCACCGCCCTTGAGGGTAGATCTGAATAAAGTATAAAGCTATCTGCTGCACATGTCTTTCCTGGGTCCCTAATAGGAGCACAGAGACTCTCCCCCAGACAGCCTTCAGCTGGGAGCCTGGGAACAGGACTACTACCCCCTTGGGGACAATAGCAAGCCCATCAGGAAGGCCTTGGATAGCCCTCACTAGTTTTAAGCCCCACCCTCATGCCCACCTTCCAAATGGTGGGAGGGCTGAACTCAGGGAGTCTTGTCCACAGGTCATAAGCAGCTACAAAGTCATCCCCACTTTGTCCTGGGAAGAGCACAGGGCTTGACTGCAGAGGAATGGGCTACCATTTATTGAGCTCAAATGCCCTTGGGCCAGACAGTGATCACCTGGGCCTGTTCCCACTGGTGGAGTTCCACAGTGGGCAGGGGCCAGGGCATTGGGAGTGGGAGCCTCAGCTCAGAGTATCAGCCATGAGCAGAGCAGGGGTCAGTGCCACCACAAGTCCAGACGCAAGGAAGGAGGTCCCTCCAGAGAAGGCTTCTGTGCGGAGAGGAGGAAACTCAGACCCTCCTGCCTCCACATGCACCAACTCCACCCCCAGGCTTCTCAAGCCCCACCTCGGGAGTTGAGTTCCAGGACCAGGTACCCATTGGGGATACCACCATGGAGCCCCAACCCCAGCATATCCAGGTCCTCCTGCCGCTGCTGGAAGATCCATTCTTTCACGGGGCTGTTCCTCTCCTCTGCCTTCAAGCCTGCCACATGCGGTCCCAGAAGGTTTTGCACCTCAGCCACGGTCAGCCGCTGCCAGGGCACCAGGCAGTCATCAGGGCCTCCAGGCTGCCCAGGATGCTGGGACTCCACTGTATGCAGAGCACCCATGCCTCCTGGGCACACGGATGCTTGCCTGGGTCCCTCCAGACTTGAGAGCTTGGCCAGCTGGCCTGGTTCAAAGGTCACCCCAGGAAGGCCCCACCCACCATGAGACCCCACCTTCTTGAGGCTCTGCCCCTCTTACCTCCACAGCCTCAACTGGCAGCTTCTTGAATGTGGCCATGTCCATGCTTACATTCTGGTGGCTGAGGGCCTGCAGATCCTCTGTGGAGGCCCCACCTGCCCGAGAGGAGAGGACCCCAAGCTCCAGGCCTCACAACATACCCTAGACCTATCCTCTGATCATAGTTACAGGAAGCCCACCTGTGTGTGTGTGTGTGCGTGTGTGTGTGTGTGTGTGTGTGTGTGTGCGCGCGTGTTGTACTAGAGATTGAACCCAAGAGTGTTCTACCACAGAGCTACATCCTCAGCCCTTTTATTTTATTTTGAGATGGTTCTTCTACATCACTAAGTTGCCCAGGCTGGGCTTGAACTTTCAATCCTCCTCCCGCCTCAGCCTCCCAGAGTGCTGGGATTACAGGCCTGTGCCACTGGGCCTGGCTGAAACCCACCTTCTTTACAGCAATTCCCTTCCTCCTAAAGAATTCCCAGTCTGGCTTTGCCTGCCCACAGCCTGACCCCTTGGCAGGAGAGGGTCAGTCCCCTAGCAGGGCTAGAATCCACAGCTTCCAACATGTTTTAAGGGGCAGGGGACAGGCCGCCCTGTGGCACTGGCCTATGAAGTATATCTTGGCACCCCTTACTGTCCCATTTGGCCATGTGCACCCTGGCTCACCCAGGAAGGCCCAGATCTTCCCAATGTACTCTGGCCCGCTCATGTTCTGGAATGCCAAGTGAGCCCTGGGATAGAGGACGCCTAGCTGTTTTGAGCTGCATGAGTCCAGGTCCTGAGGCCTGGCCGCCCTGGAGCAGAATAAAGTAGGCAGTGAGTAGGGGGCGGGATATGCCCACCCTGCCCAACAGACACCCCCCATGACTCACCACAGGACACTGGCAGGCACGGAGCCCAGTTGCTTGGGGCTGAGGGCACACAGGTAGGCGGGATAAAAGCCATCCAGGGCATCCAGAATGCCTTTTTCCAGCTGGCCCCTCTCCATCAGGTAGCGGGCAATCGGGGTGACCAGCTGTAGAAGGAAGCCATTCAGCTGCCTTGGGGCAGGAAGCAATGTACTCCTGCCAGCCCCAGCTGCATACCCTCATGCCACAGACACTCCCCCAGGCAGGTGGTCACCTCAGTGTCCATATTTGGCCTTTTGCTGACTTTGAGCAGAGCTTTCAAGGTGTCCAAGGAGGTCACATTCCACTTCTGAATGTCCTCAGGGCTCATGAGAGAGAAGAAGTGACCCAGTCTCAGGATCAGGGACTCAGGGTAGCCTTGTGGGTAGGTCTGGGGGGGGGAAGTGACCGTGAGGATCAGAGCTCCTCCCTGGAAACTAGGAAGTCCTGGGCACAGCAGGCAGGCAGGAGCCCACAGCAGGAGTTACCTCATCCAGCTTGCGCTTCAAGATGTTGAGCTGCTGGTAGGTAAAGGGAATGGCATTCACCCGGTCCATCTGTGAGGCCAGCAGAGCACCATCCACACAGGCCTGCAGTTCCCAGTCCTCATAGAAGAAGAGATCCTCATCCACCACCTGGGGCTTCCGCCCTGGAGGACAGGCCTTCTCTGCAGGACAGGCAAGGGTCAAAGGCCAGCCTGCTTCTTTCAACCTCTCCTTCCTCCCATAAATGCCACAAGACCTTGAGCCTCCATTTACCCACTAGCAAAATGAGGCAATTCTGTACACTCTGTAAGGTTGTGATTGAACCAACTGAGGAGCCAAGAAGGGTTGCTTGTAGGGGCAGGTGAGGCCCTACAATGCCAGACCCCAGCCTGGCCCAGCAGGATGTGGGGCTCACCCTCTGTGCTCCGCTTGAGCCTCATGAGGATGGTGGTCAGCTCAGGCCATGGTCCAGATGGATCCTGGGAGGTCCGATGCAGGATCCAGGCATCTGTGACTTCCTGAGGACAGGACAGGGTGGCTCAGCTGCACGGGCCCAGAGGATCTATAAGCACACTGGAGCTGAGTCTCACCTTGGGGATGGTATGGATGGTTGACTGGTCCAGCACAGCCAGCAGGCTCTGCAAGGCGTCCAATGTGGAGACCGACCACCTCGATGGAGGGCTGTCCAGATACAGGAGCTTGGCTCAAGGAGCCCCCAATCCAGCCCCAGACACACAGGGAGGGCAGGGGGTAAACCCAAAGTTGGGTCCCTCCCCTGCAGAGACCCTGGTGGGCACAGATAGGGTGCAGCAGGAGATACTAGACCCTGAGCTGCCCAGTGCAGATGAGGAAATCCTCAGACACAGCTCCCCATGAACCACCAACCCAAGCACCTCCAAAGTCCCACACACCCGTCCTCACCCATAGGGGGGCCCTCCGCCCTGCAGAGCTTCCTTGGCTGCCTCCTGTTGGTCCTGGTCCAGAGGCCCCGGGCAGGCTGCCAGCCGGGGAAGGACCACTGCTGCAGACTTGGCAACAATGTGCCCAGGCAGGTCACAAGCTAGGCCTCCCAGGGCCTGCACGTTGTTCTCACTCACCTGAGACCCCTGCACACCCTGCATAGGCAGTGAGCCTCAGCACCTCTGGGGAACCACCAAGCCCCCTCCTTGCTGCCTTGCCCCCAGCCCCCATCCAGTACCTGGCAGGTCAGAGCTGCAAGTAGCAGCCGCCGCCGCTCAGGACTTCCCCGAGGAAGCACATCCACATTAGCCTTGGCAATACTGGAGAAGAACTGGGTACAAGCCTGGGACCCCGTGAACAAGTCTGGGCTGCAGAGGCAGGGTGGATGCTGGGGCCAGCCATGCACACTGCTGCACCCCCCTACCTGAGGGTTGGCCCAGCTGGCCACTGAGCCCCTGTGCTTTGAGGTTGAAGGGAGGGTGTGCAAGCCTGGAGGGTGTCCCTACTTGAAGAAAGGCAACATATCCAGCGGAAAGGTGTCCAGGTTCTTGGGGACAAGGTGCTTGGAGAGGTGAAGTGCCAGACAGTGCAGCTGCCAGGAAACCAAAAATCCAGCTCAGAAAGTTCTGAGTTACCCTAAAGATGGGCCAGGGGCCCCTGATTGATCCCACCCCATGCTGCTCATGCTGGCCCCAAGCCCTGCTCATACAGAGCTGTTGCCCTGAGCACTATCCTGCTGGGGCACCAGGCACACAGGTGCTGGTCTGCAGCCCTCTCCCTGCCCGAGACTCACCCACCCCATATCATGCCTCCTACGCCCACTGTGGGCCATGTTTCATGGACAGACCCACCAGAGCTGCCCCTGGTGCTCTAGGAGGCAACAGCTAGGTTATCTCAGATTTGCTCCCAGAGAACTATACCCAAATGGGGTCAGGCACCTTCATGGTCAGTTCAGGTGGCTAAGGAGCTATGGGAGGAGCCACAGCCAGGGAGAAACCCTGAGTGAGCAGTGGTGTGGTAGCCCTGGGTTCACTAACTCCTCAGCCTCCCCTGTCCCACCTAAGGACTAACCTGATCCACTCGGAGCGTGACATTCTTCTGCTTTATGGCCATGGCCAGATCCTGGGCGTGCTCAGTGCTCATGCCAGACACCTCCATACAAGTGAAGTCACGGAGGAAGCTGGGGTCAAGGCTGGGGACAGGCCAGGGGTATGCACAGGGCTGCCCTGCCGCCACATCATCCCCACAAGGGACCCTATGAGCACCCTGGAGGGCAAAGTGTCACCATCCCCTGGAGGAGTAATCACTTCCCCAGCCTGGATCTCAGCCAGGCAGGGAGGACATGGGGGGACATAGGCTCAGGAACTTGATCATTGAGACTTGGCCATGATTCAAGGCCACCAGAGTCCTTGAGGGACATGAGGTCTTGCACTTACCTGACAATGTCACTCTTGTTGGCCAAGACTGGGTTGGGGAGTATAGCCGCCTGGGGAACAGGGCCTGGATGAGGACTCCCTAAGCAGGAGTTTCTCAGGCCCAGCTGTTCCCTGAGCCAGGTTGCCTGCTGGGACCATGTCTTGGGCCCATGGCTTGACTGCTTCCTAATCCAGTCCCTCCAGCCTCAGACATACCCTTGCAAGTAGGCACCTCTGAAGTCCAGTAGATTTGTGCACATTCCACACCCCTAGGCAAAGCTGAGACCTCCACCAGGACCAGAGGGCCCTCCCATCCCCCAGAGGACCTCACCTGCTGTGTCATAACTGTCTCTGTCCTCAGAGGCTGCACCCACCCTGCAGA